GGGGGGTGGGGTGGGACTGGACTCCCTGTCCCTCTCCTGCTTCTCCCCATAACCTCCATCCCATGAATTCTCTCACCTCCTGCCCTGTCCCCTCAGTGGGTGTGAAGGTGGAGGAGCCTCTCCCTGGGGTGATGCCTAAGGCAGCACCACTGAGGAACCTCAAATCCTCCTTTTTTTTGGCTTGTGGGATGTGCCGGGGGTGTGTCTGGGACGGACCCTCTGCACGAGGAGAAGGGATGAAGGGCCCATGGAAGGGCTTTTTAGGGGTCAAAACTTCTTCTGAGGATGCCCTGAGATGGAGATGGGAGATCTCCAGTACAAACCTGGGCTTTTCATCCTGCCAGACCCACAAACGAACCCCAGCCCTGCTTTTAAATAATGGGAGTTTTCAGTAAACGGGAATGTTTGGGGGTCAGGGCTTGTTCCAGGCTGAGCTGGAGCCCTGGTGTAAATCAGCAGAGCCCCTGCCAGGAAGATGGAGACAGGGGGGTCACACCAGCAGGGGGCAACTTGGGGGACACGGAGCAGCTCGTAGCGGCTGTAATGGGGGAATCAGGGTAGGATTCCAGTGAGGATGGAGGAGGGAGCCTGGAGGGGCTGGATCCAGCCACGGGGGCTGTGACTGCAGTGGCTGCAGTGACTGCATTGCAGTGCCAGCGCCCAGTCCTGCACTGCACCCTCCTGGCAGCACCCTCCTGGCAGCACTGGGGGGGCCTGGCTTGATGGGGAGCAGGGAGCTGGGACAGGGACAGGCCCTTTTGCCCCGAAATCCACTCTATGGTGCTGGGAGCAGTTTTGCCCCCAGCTGAGGGGTTGGGCTGCCCCCCGCCCTGTATCTGCCCCTTACCTGGCAGGGATGGGGGATGTGACCCAGGACAGCCATTGAGGCAGAGCAGGGATGGGGACTGGCAGGCCTGGGGTGTGCCCAAGGCATTGCTGCCCCACACCCTGCCCCACACTGCCCAGCTCTGGCCCCTGGTGCTGGGGCAGCCTCAGCACCCTCCTTCCCAGAGCAGGGGCTGCAGAGTCCTATGGGGCTCCAAGAAGGCAGCACCAGGGTCCCCATGAACCCCCACCCTCCAGCCCCTCCCCTGCCTCAGTTTCCCCAGGCCATCCTGTGCCACCACCCACTGAGCCCCACGGGGTGTGTGAGCATGAGCTGCTGGGGCAGGTGATGGGGCAGGTGATGGGGCAGGTGATGGGGCAATTAGTGCTGCTAATGAGCTTGTTCTGTTCAAAACCAGCCCCTGCAGTGAGGCCCGATGCTGCCTGCAGCCCCCAGGCCCTGAGCAGCACCCAAAGCCCCCCCAGAAAGGAGCCTTTCCCTGCCACGTGCCTGCAGTGCAGCTCAGCCCTCCCTGGCCCCCACCCCCTGCCCAAGAAGGGATTTTTCTTATTGTGTTGTAGATGATTTCCAGGGATCCAGCAGCAGCTGCTGATGGTGGCTGGGGGGGGGGGGAGACCCACTGACTTGGTGCCCCCCAGGCAGGCAGAGGTTTGAATGGAAACTGCACATGGAAGGTCCTCGTGCAGGGACACAAATGCACAAGTGTGGGGTTCTGCACCCGGGGAGGAACAACCTGCTGGAGAGCAGCTCTGGGGGTAGGACCTCTGGGTCCTGGTGCACAACAGACTGACCATGAGGCAGCAACGTGCCCTGGTGGCCAAGAAGCCCAGTGACATCATGGGGGGCATCAAGGTGGGCAGCAGGTCAGGGAGGTTCTCCTCTCTCTCTCTACTCTGCCCTGGTGAGGCCCCATCTGGAGAACTGGGTCCAGTTCTGGGCTCCCCAGTTCAAGAAGGACAAGGAGCTACTGGAGAGGGTCCAGGGCAGGGCCCCCAAGTGCTGAGGGGACTGGAGCACCTGCCTGTGAGGAAAGGCTGGGAGAGCTGGGGCTGTTCAGCTGGAGAGGAGGAGACTGAGGGGGGATCTCATCAACCCTCCTCAATATCTCCAGGGGTGTCAGCAGGAGGTGAGTTGTGGAGGCACTTTGGGTGCAAAGCTGGGTTGTGGAGGCTTTTTGTACCTTCTTTACTTGCAGGAGTAAATGCTGCATCTGAAAGCCCATGGAGCAGGTGTCCCCATGTTTGGGGGGTCCTTCAGACCCCACTGGACTGGGGTGGGGGGTTCTACAGTGGAGCACAATCCCCTCCCTGGCCCTGCTGGTCCCTCTGCTGGTGACACAGCCCAGGACATGGCTGGTTTCTGGGCTCCAGCACATGGTGACAGCTCATTTTGAGCTTCTCACCACCCAACAGCCCCAAGTCCTTCTTCTCCTCAAGGCTGCTCAATCCATTCTCCACCCATCCTCTCTTTGTGTGGTGCTCCTGGTGGCTTTGGAGGTGTCAAGAGTCAAGAAACCTGTGGGGGTTGGCTGGGCTTCCCCTTCCCTGTGAGGGAATCAGGAGCCTGGACTCTGATGACCTTCCTAAGGCTCTAAGGGTCTCCAGCAGGTCAGGCTCCCAGCTGCAGCCCTGCTGTCCATGCAGGTGCCCTCAGTGCACAAGCTGAGCACGTGGAGAGGTGAAGGGAGGAGAGACCCAGGTGACCATCAAGTCAATGTTGCATTTCAGGGACCCTCTGAGCCACCATGACGTTCAAGCAAGCGTCCATGATGGCCCCAGAGGCCACAGCCACCACGATGCCCATGGCCACAATGGACAACTCCACCGAGGCCTCAGGGCCAGGTGAGAGCAAGGAGGACATGTTCACCAAGCTGAGGGACAAGTTCATGAATGAGCTCAACAAGATCCCCCGTGAGTAGCTGCCTCTGTTGCCAGGTGTCCCCTTCCCCACGAGCCCACCAGTGCTCCAGTCCCCGAGGGGGGTGGTGCTGGAGTGGCTGGGGTCACAGGGACCTGTGGGGGTGACCCCAGCTCTGGCTTTTGCCCACAGTGCCACCCTGGGCCCTCATTGCCATCGCCGTGGTAGCTGGACTCCTCATCCTCACCTGCTGCTTCTGCATCTGCAAGAAATGCTGCTGCAAGAAGAAGAAGAACAAGAAGGAGAAGGGCAAAGGCATGAAGAATGCCATGAACATGAAGGACATGAAGTCGGGCAACCAGGTGATGCCCTTCTGGTCTGCTTGGCTTTGCTCTGCACTTGGTGGTGTAGGACAGTCCCTCTGGTTGAGTTACAGACCCTGTCAGGACACTGGTAGCTCAGGCAGCAGATGGGGATGGAGCCACCAGGATCCTGGGATGGGGAACCTGGAGCTGAGACAGCAGCACTGTCCTCCTCCAGTGCCTGGTGGCCTGGATGGGACCAGGCTCAGGCTGCCCTGGACTAACTGATGCTTCACTGACCACCAAACATTAATTTAGTCCCTTATGTCTCCTCACCTTCCTCTGAATTGCCCTTTCATTCCTATGGACCTTTAGCAGAGAGGGGAGGGCCACCAGGAAAAACCTCCCACCACTTTAGAGGTCCCCAAAGAAGCCAGTGCTCAAGGGGCACGTGCTGGTGCATGGGGTGGATCTGGGAACTCATCCCCATCCAGGAGGGACAGGAGAGGTTGGTGGGAAGGGAGCTGTGGGTGATCCCAGCCCTTCCAATCCCTCTGCCCAACCCAGGGCCAGTTGGTTAGGAGGGTTTGGGTATTTCTGCTCCTCAGAGCCCCATGAGCACTGCAGGTCTGCAGGCAGGGCCAGAGAGGTGGGTGTTCCATCCCACCTGTCCACCTGTGTGTCCCTGCTGTGGTGGGAGGTGTGGGGTGGGATTCCCCCTGTGCTGCCCCCTGGGCTCCCCTGGCCATGCCAGCCCCGGTTCCCCATGGTGCTGTGGTCCCACCAGTGCTGTCCATGATGGGTCTCTCTTCCTGCTCTCACCATCCTCCCTCCTGCTGCCCTGGCTGCCTCTTCACTTTCTGTCCTGGACACCATCCATGGTAGGTGCCACCATCAGATGCTTCCAGGCTGGGATGGGGGACCTGGGGACACATTGGAGGGGTGGCTTTGCCTTAGCTGTAGAAGGATTTGGTTGTGTCTCTATTGCTAAGCCCTTGGCACCAGCTGCAGTGTCTCCTGGGCATGGGCTGGGGGGTGGAGGACCCCACACCCTGGGCAGTAGGGACCTGCAGCCCCCCCGTGCCAGGACCAACCCCCTGGGACTGAGCTGAGCCCTGGTCCCAGCGCCCCAAGGCAGCCCCACAATGTCCCACCCCGGGGCTGTGGGCAGAGCTGGTGCCACCCAGGGCTGCCCCATCCCTGCTCCGTGTCCCTGTCCCTCATGGGGAGAACCTGGGGGGTTGAGAAGCCAGAGGGGTTGGGATGCTGGAGGTCCCCAGAGGTGTGGGGATGGGGACACTGGGCTGTGACCTTCTGCTGAGCCCCGGGGCACTTCGGCCACCCTTGCAGGACAAACAGGATGATGATGATGCGGAGACGGGTCTGACAGAGGGGGAAGGTGAGGAGGAGGAGAAGGAGCCAGAGAACCTGGGCAAGCTGCAGTTCTCCCTGGACTACGATTTCCAGGCAAACCAGGTGAGGGAGGGTCTGGGGGGGTCGGCTGAGGAGGGGAGGGGGGTTTGCCCAGGGAGGGTATTTGAGAGGAGAGGTCTCCCTGTTGGACCTGAGTGGTGTGGGAGGGAGCTGTGCTTGGCAGCACAGCCTGCAGCACCTTGCTGAGGGCACCGACCCCTTTGCCCCCTCCAGCTGACAGTGGGGATCCTCCAAGCTGCTGAGCTGCCAGCGTTGGACATGGGTGGCACCTCAGACCCCTACGTGAAGGTGTTCCTGCTCCCTGACAAGAAGAAAAAGTATGAGACCAAAGTGCAGAAGAAGACACTCAACCCTGCCTTCAATGAGACCTTCACCTTCAAGGTGAGCCCCTTCCTACCTATGACATAGGACTTTATCTCCCACTCCCATCTTTCCCCCTGACTGTCCCAGTCCCATTTGTTCACCCTCACTGCTGGGGAAGGGCTGTCCTGCCCTGGGCTCCTCTGAACTTGTTGCCATCCTCTCTGTGCAGGTGCCCTACCAGGAGCTGGGTGGGAAGACACTGGTGATGGCCATCTATGACTTCGATCGCTTCTCCAAGCACGACATCATTGGGGAGGTGAAGGTGCCCATGAACACAGTGGACCTGGGCCAGCCCATCGAGGAGTGGCGGGACCTGCAGAGCGGGGAGAAGGAGGAGGTGAGAGTGGGATGGGCATGAGGCCCTGGGCTGAGATCCTTGGCCAGGGGCTTGAGATGTGCTTGGCTCTCTGGGCCACCCCACAGTGCTCAGGATGGTGATGACTGTGGGGGGCCCACCAGGATGGCATGGCCTGGCTGTAAGCCCAGGGCAGGAGCTGCCCCTGTTGTTCCCTCAGGGCAAAATCCTCTCCAAGACAATTTCCTGCCCCAGAGCCAAGTGATCCAACTCTTCTGCTGGTGCACGAGGTGCCAACTGGTGCCTGCATCAAAGGCTGAGCAGGCCTTGGGGGGGCCTGCATGGCAGCACGATGCACTGGTGGGGCTTTGACATCTGCCCCTGCTCCTCTTGGCAGCCAGAGAAGCTTGGAGATATTTGCATCTCCCTCCGGTACGTGCCCACGGCCGGGAAGCTCACGGTCTGCATCCTGGAGGCCAAGAACCTGAAGAAGATGGATGTTGGGGGTCTCTCAGGTAGGTGTTGGCTCCTGGCATCCCCATCCCACCCTGCTGTGAGTCTCTCAGCATCCTTTGTTGGGAAGGACACTGTGGCCATCAGTCTGGCAGCCCTGGAGGCAGCCCAGGGTCTGGCTGGAGGGTGAGGGGAGATGGGGGTGGCATGAGGCCCCCCAAGCCTATTGGAAGGACATATTGAATTTGGCCTGTCACTGTCCCTAGCCAGGACACTGCAGGACCTGGGTGGTGAAAATCCTCCTCTGCCATTGCTCCTGGTCCTGCCCCAACTTGGCAGGCAACTGAGGACCTCAGTTGATGGCATGTTTGCTAGAAGAGTCTTCCCATCTCTGCCCAGGGCTGAGAGCTCTGCCCGGGGTCCTCAGCCCTCTCCAGACCTGTCTTACCCAGGAGAGGAGCAGCTCCTGCATGGCTGGAAGGGTTCAGCTGGAGTGTCCTGCTCCAGAAATGGGGGTGATGGGCCAGCACTCCCTGGTGTCCCCAGCCCTCCTACAAGGAGACCCACAGGATGCAGGAAGAGCTCCATCCCTTGGCCAATTGCTCCCACAAATCCTCTCCAGCCCCAAAATTTCATCTTTGGCCTCCATCCTCACAACACAAATGTCAGAGCACCTTTACTCATGGAGGTCTCCTTACCCCATGGTGCACCTCATCCTGGGCTGAGACTTCTGGTCATCTTAGCCCAGGCTGATGGACCCTCCTGCCCTCCCCCTCCTCCCAGATCCCTATGTGAAGATCCATCTATTGCAAAATGGCAAGAGGTTGAAGAAGAAGAAGACCACAGTTAAGAAGAAGACCCTGAACCCATACTTCAATGAGTCCTTCAGCTTTGAGATCCCCTTTGAACAGATACAGGTTTGTCAGATGATTCCCCTGGGAGGCAGGCAGGGTGGGGGTGATGGGAGAAGTCAAGCAGCTGCCTGAGCCCTTGTTCCAGCCTTCCCACCAGCCTGAGCATCTCCTGCCAAGCTTCTAGTCTGGTCTCCCATGAAGAACAACCAGTTCCAACCAGGGCCTGTGCTGATGCTGAGAGCAGCTTGTGCAGGGACAGAGGTGGGAGACTGGGCAGCACCTGTAGGAGATGCAATCTCCAGCCACAGCTTGCAGCAGCAATGGGGCTTTCTTCTGCTCCTGGCTCTATAGTGCTCACCCCAGGGGCAGCAGGGACTCCCTGGTGGTCCTGGAGGCATTTTCACCACTGGAATGTGCCTTCTGCCCCTCCATGTCCTGCCCTTTGCCCCAGCCCAGCCCTGTCAAGCCCTCTAGCCCCCACAGCTCTTGCCCAGCCCCATAGCACCCCTCAGAGCCCTTTCCCAGGTGGCCACATCAGGATGAGCTGGGCCCTCACCCTCACCCTTGGGATCCTCTGGAAGGAAGGGGAGGTCACTACGGGTGTGGAGGGGACCCTGTCCCAAAAGGGGCCGTGGAGGAGCTGAGCCCTGGGTGCTCCCTGCTGAGCCGCTGCTGGAGGCCACGGAGCCACCGGTACTGCTGGGCCTTTCCTCTAAAGAAGGTGTGTCCTCCTCCTTTAGAAAGTGCAGGTGGTCATCACGGTGCTGGACTACGACAAGCTGGGGAAGAACGAGGCCATTGGCAAGATCTTCACGGGCTGCAACTCGACGGGCACGGAGCTGCGGCACTGGTCCGACATGCTGGCCAACCCCCGGCGGCCCATCGCCCAGTGGCACTCGCTGAAGCCAGAGGAAGAAGTAGATGCAGCTCTTGGGAAGAACAAATAGGCAGCTGTGCTGGCCCTGTGAACAGTCGGAGTGACCCAGAGCTACTGATACCTCAGTTCTGCAACCTTTGGTTTTGGTTCTTCTGTTCTGTTTTAAGCTGCAAAACCCTTTGATGGCTGTGGAAGGGTTTCAGGCCGTCCCAATAGCTTCCAGGGGAAGAGGTTAAAGACAAGGATGGTTCTTTTTTGTTCTTCAACATCGTTCCCTTCTGCTGCATGTCCCATCATGGCCTCTGCCCACCATCCCGTGCAGGTGCGAAGCCACCATCACACCTGGGACCTGCCCCGGCATCTTCGTCACCAGCCACAGCATCTCTGCCCCCATCCTTCCCTTGGGTCGATGTGGGAAACTACTGGACGTCGCATGAGGTGACACTGGAGCCTGACAGTGCCAGGTGGCCAGACCCACTGTGCTTGCTTGGGGCATGAATATCCTGTGTGGGCATCGGAAGGGTGGAGAAGACCCTCTGCAGGAGACCCTGGCTCCTCCCGCTCCTGCTCTGCTCCCTCTGTCCAGGAAGGCCAAGAGCTGTGGTTTTGGGCCAAGAATGGTTGAGTGCTCCTGGCCAGCTCCAGGTTTGGCTTCTTCTGGGGAGAGATTTGCAGGGGTGGCCAAGCCCTGGTGTGGTGATGGGGTGATGAGCCCTTGGTGCTGCAGCCAGAGCTGGGGGGGCAGTCTGAGCCCCAGGAGCTGCTCGGGGCAGACGTGGTGGGATGTGCATGCAGGGGCAGTGCAGTGTAGACCACCAGCACCACCAGCACTGCTGGGCCACCCTCGTGTCCCCCAGCAAGGACAGTGCTGAGCAATTTGCTTGTGTGTCCCCCCGTGCTTGGTTGAAACCTGTAGATCAAGATGCTTCCACAAGGCAGGTTTACACTGAGAGGTCTCCAGATGTGAGAGGTGCCAGGGGCCTCCCCAAAAGCCACCACGTGTCCCCAGGGCTCAGCCTCACCATGGGCACCCCAGCCCAGCCTTGGGGCAGTGGGAGCTCCAGCCCCACTGCTACATCCCACTGCCGTGATGCCCGTGGGGAGGATGAGAGTGACCCTGTGGCCATCAAGGGACCAAAGCCCCCAGCCCCCCTGAGCTGCTGGGCCCCACTGGGCTGTTGGCTGCTGACCCCGCCCCGTCCCGCTCCCCTCGGGGGCATAAGCCATATCCATGTCCCTGAGAGTGGGCAAGAGCTTCTCCAGGTCACCACTCCCACCATGGGACAAGCCAGGACCAAGCCCCCGAGCTGGAGAGCCACCATTGCTCCCTGCTGCCAGGAGAGGGTCCAGCAGCCCTGCCCAGTTTATCCCAGTATGTACTGGAGCACTGATAGGAGCTGGTGTCCCCGTCCCAGCTCTAACTGCTCAGCAGCCTCCTGCTCCCTGCTCTGCTTGGACTTCCTGGACTTGGTTTTCTGGGGTTTTGCCACAGTTGGAGCAGAAGGGGGTTCCACCTTCAGCCTAGGGCCTTGCAGTGGAGCAGCAGAGCTCTGGGGTGCTCCTGGACCTCCATGCAGAGTGTCCCAAGCCTGGGGACAAAGAACCAAAACTGTTTGCCCCATTGGATGCTTCAGCAGATTCCTATGGCTTCCCTAAGGGCACCTCAGCCCTGGCTGGAGGTTGGGAGATGATGGGAAACTTGGTGGCAGCCACAGCTCAGGGGGTTCAAGTTGGACACGGGGACAAGCCCCTTCTCCTGTAGAGCTGTGCATCCCTGGAACAGGTCCCCAGGGAGGGACAGCTCCATTCTCGGGGGAGGCTGGGGGCTTGGTTAGCCCAGCCAAGCTGTGGTGGTGAGGGAGGTTGGACTGGAGACCTCCAGAAACCTCTTCCACCAGCTCCTCAGCAGTGCCCATGCCCTAGAGCCCAGCACGGCTGCTGGAGCTGCTGGTGGCACCTCGCTGGGCGATGGGGGCTCCTGGGTCAGCAGGCAAATAGTCCCACAGGGCCATCACCAGCTTTAATTAGTTCCTTTGCCTAATGGATGTGTCAGTGTCAACAAACGAGGACCTGCCCTGCTTGGGTGGCCAAGGGGAGGAGAAGTCTCGGTGTGCTTTTAGTTACTGGGGGACTGGAGGTGGTGGATGCCCCTGGGCTGGGGACACTGGCAGGATGTGGTCCCTTGAATCAGTCACATGTTGGGGTCCAGTTTGAGATAGAAAAAAAGACGGAATTGAAAAAAGCCCTAAAATCCTCCTCTTTTGGTCTGGGAGGGTGCATGGCCCCACAGCTTTCCCTGGGAGGCAGGTAGAAGTGTCACACACACCTGTACACACATGCAGTGGTACACACGTACACCTGTGCACACACACCTGTACATACACATGCACCTGTACACACACACCCCCCACCTGCACACATGCATTCACTGATACACACATACACCTGTACACACACCTGTACATATACACGCACCTGTACACACACCTGTACATACACATGCACCTGTACACACCCACCCACCCACCTGTACACACACACCCCTGTACATACACACACACCTGTACACATACACCCACCTGCACACCCCCCTGCACCCTCCAGACCCTCCTCATCCTCCAGGCTGTCACTGGGAGCAGAGGTCCCACCAGTGGCCCTTCCCACCCCATTCCCATGGCTGGTTTCCCTCCGGACTCTTCAAGCCTGGCCAGGGGGGGATGGGGAGGAAACTGTGACTTAATACATTATTATTTTATTTTCTTTTTAAAATAAAACAAAGGAAAACCAACAACCCCCCCGTGACGCCCCTGCCCCCCCAGCTCTGTGTAGTCGCTCGAGCTCGGAGCCCCCCTGTGTGTCCCACCAGCTCTGCATGATGCAGCCCCAGCAGTAGCAGCATGGATAGAGCCCACCGGTGCTGCCCCAGCCCCCCCTCCCCCCCCCCCCCCC